TCTTAAAATTGTAGCAAAGGTTAAACACATTAAATAGCTCTTAGTGTACTTCAAGGGCCATTTAAACATTACTTGAGGTGATTAATAAGAGTTTACAAGAAAATTAGGCAAAAGATGCAACTAGGCAATTCCCAAGAAAAGGTAATACAAAATGGACAATAGACATGAAAATGTAGAGAACTTCACTTATGATAAAAATTAATTTTTCATCCCAGAAATATCTGAATATACAAAAAGTTCAAAGTTGACATTGGCACTAGAACAGTGAACAACCTGTATTCATGGGAGTTTAGAACAATTATGTGAATATGTGTGCATGCATGGGTAATATCTAATATATCCATGGGGTGATTATTAATACAACATGTGGTGATGATGTTATAAAGAAAAAGGAAATAGAAATGAGATACTATTTTATATAGTGGTCAAGGAACGACTCGAGATAAGGTGACATGTAAGCAGTGAATTGAAGAGAGTGAGAGAGAAAGCCATAAGGATTTCCTTTTTTTCATTATTATTTTTCTTTTATGTGTATGAGTGTATTGCCTGCATGTATGTGAGTGCACCTGTGTGTGCACACTGCTGCAGAGGTCAGAAGAGGGCTTCGGATTCCCCTGGAACTGGAGTTAAGGAGGCTTCGTAGCCTCCATGTGAGTGCTGGGAATCGAACCCGGTTCCTCTGTAAGAGCAGTCAGTGCTCCTAACCACTGAGCAATCTCTCCACCCCTGGATTTCCTTTTTATATTAAAAAAAAAGTTTTAGGGGCTGGAGAGATGGCTCAGTGGTTAAGAACACTTGCTGTTCCTGTAACAACCTGAGTTTGGTTCCTGGCACCTGTGTCCAGCAGCTCACGACCATCTGTAAATCCAGTTCCAGGAGAACCGATGTTCTCTTCTGGCCTCTGTGGGCACCTGTATGGTGCACATACAGACAAGCAGGCACACACATGTATGTAAATAAAAAAGAAATTAAATTAAAAACATAAGGCTCTGGAGAGTGGTTTAGAGCACTTACTGCTCTTGCAGAGGACAAAAGTTTGGTTGCTAGCACCCACATGGCCACTAATACCCATCCTTAACTGCAGTTCCGGGGGATCCAACACCCTCTTCTGGCCTCCACAGGTACTAGGTATGCATTTGGTACACTTAATATGCATTCAGGCAAAACACTCATGCACATATAGTAAAAATAAATTAAATCTTTTGAAAACATAAAATAAGGTGTAAATTTTTCTTAAAGTTACATCTATTTAGCCATGTATGTATGTATGTATGTATGTATGTATGTATGTATGTGTATGGACATGCATGTGCCGTGGCACACATGTGGAGGTCAAAGGACAACTTATGGGAGTTGGTTCTCTTCTTCCATCACATGGATCCCAGGAATTGAACTCAGGTTGTCAGGCTTGGTGGAAAACACCTTCATCTGCTGAGCCATCTCTCTGGCCAAAGCCAGAAGAGTTTTCCAAACAGAAGAAAGTAGGGCTTAGGCATGGAATAGTAGGCAACTTAGTTTATTCAAAGACAAGAAATATATATTGTCTGTTTCATGAAAGATCAAGTCGATAGGAAGAGAGGTCTAAGCAACCAACCTGAGATTAGGTAGGGCCTGAAAGACCAGAATAAGGATCTGAAACTTTACTAGGAATGGCATAGAGTGGCTACGGTCACTTAACAAATAACTTGGATTCAAAAAACAATGACTTCAAAGGATGACATTGATTCTAGGATATTACTGACTGTGCAACATACCAGTATTTTATATACCCACTGAGAAAGAAAACAAAATGCTGCCAAATATAGTCATAAACTCTCATTCAAAGATTTCAGCAATGTTGTAACTTGAAGTGCTGTACCTCTTCAAGTTGATAAAATACAATATTTTTCTTCATGAAAAATTTCCATTGTGATGGGTTGCAAGATGGCTTCTTAACTACAGTTACTAAATCCTCATTTTCAGAAGGAAGAAAGAGGAAGTGGGGAGGGGACATCTTTTAGTCTTCCATATTAATTTAAAGATGGTTTTATAAAGTCTCCCCTAAGAAACTCGTTGAAATTTTATTGGCATTACCTTGGATGTATAGAGCAACACGGAGTGAACATCTGTACAGTATAGTCTCATTTACATTTTATAAAAGAAAATATGTAAAATACATGCTTATATGTGCATAGAAACTTTCTCACAAATTTCAGGAAATAGAACTGGGTTTGAGTGGTGGAGAAAGGCTTTCACTTTTTACACCATGCCCTTTTCTATACATTTTAAAACCCATAACTATTATGTATACATATATAACTTGTATGACAATAAATATAAACCAGCAACTTTCAAAGTGGAATATGCCTTACCCAGTAGCATGGGAGATTGAAGGGAATACGTTTTTACATCTTGAAATTTCATATGTAGTGCTTAAAATTGATTTGCCAGAGAACATAGCTGTGACAGAGGAATCAAGCTGGTTCTCTTTTCCATCTCCCCTTTCACAGATTCTTTTTTGCAGTTACAAAAGAAAAGCATCTTTTACCCATCCTGAATCTCACCCTTATGCACTACCCTGCTGTGTAAAACCCTCAGGGTGCCAGAGAGGCAATTCCAAACACTGCATCAGTAGTGAACAAACAAATTGCTCTAACAATGAATGGGAATCAAATCGCTTTGCACCTCAGACGTTTTCTAATTGTTTGCTTCCAATAAAATTGAAGGAAATTTCAGTGGAGTTCTCAGCTGATAAATAATAAGAATTTTGAAGCTTCCCAAAGAAGTCAAAGGCTTGAATGATATTGCTAAAGAAAATGCTTATTTCTGTGAGAGGTTTCTGTGTGATAACATTTAATCAAACAAAAATTAAGAATGATTTTATGCTTAATCCTGTGTCATTCTAGCAATAAACAATATTTATCTGTGGAAACACCCACCTATAAAATTGTTTCAAGTGCAAAAATATATATTATTGGGACAAAAAATTAGAGGGGAAAAATGTAAAACTTGCAACTATCAAAGAGCTCTGTTGGGAATTTCAAAAGCAGATGACGGTGGTTCTCCATTCACTAACAACATGTTTCTCCTGGATTCATATAATATATTGATGTAATAGTTTTAGTTTTGAAGGTAGAAATTTTGTTAGCAATTTCATTTTTGAAGGTAATTGATATTTACTATGCAAAATTTTAGATGTCAACCAAAAAATGCATGAAGGAGCACAATGTTTTTCAAAATATTTTTAGAGAACATTTTGATAGAAAACAACTTCTATATAAACATATAAAAAATATAGGAATTCTCATTTACTCTTTTGCCATCTTGTGGTCAGAGCAGTATTTAGCACCCAGGCGCGTGAACTCAGGAAGAGCTGTAAGGAAGTGCAGCAAAGCATTTGCCAGGTCTTTGTGAGGCACAGATGATATTTGTCCAGGACTAAATCCAGATCATACAAGCACTAAGCATCAAAAGATTATGGTGACTCCCTCCACATGTGCGTCAAAGCAAAAGCAACATACAATGAGGAATGAATATGAGAAAGTAACTATGTTGTGAATATTCCAGTGGAGGGCAACTTTAAAAATCAAAAATGCCAAATTCCTGCTAGTTGACCTAGAGACACTTCCTTAGTGTTAGTGTACCATTTGGGGAAGCCAACTCTGATTCTAACCCTGGGGTGTCTTTGGTTCAGTCCTGGGTACCCAGCTTTTAGTACAACACCTAGTACAAGTGGGTTGTAAACATCTGTTGAGTGAATGGTGGCAGACCTGTCTACTTTCAGAACATGCTAGCCTGGGCAGAGTTTGGGTGGGCCTGTGTGATTCTGCAGGAAATCCATCGGTCAGGCAATCAGGTTACACAGCTATGTTTCAATGGTAAACACTCTCAGTCACACACCTTTCGATTTCTTTGTTGTCTGTTAGTCTGTGAAGATGGAATGATGGTACTCTCTTGCCCTCTCCTCCCATGGTTCAGGAGTTCAGCCGCTTTTAGCAGGGGCCATACTACTTGCATTTCCTCTGGTTGCAGGCCACAAAGGACAGGCATTTATTGGAAGGATGCTGGGGTGCTTCAAGAAATTGAAAACAGAGCTGACAGGAGGGCTGGCATCAGGGTAGCCTTAGGCTAGAAAAGAACCAGGCAGTCTCCCTAAGTGCTCAGATTCCTGATCCTTCCAGCTGCTAACCCCAGGGACTCTGCCCCCACTTCCTCTATGAAGGATGAGGCAGGTGGGGGATGACTTCCAGTGCAGACCAGGGGCACTTTGCTGTACTTTGCAGACAGCATACCTCTTTCCACAAAAGCAGGGCAATGTGCACTAGGCCACAGCCCTGTCTTCACTGAGACACCACACTCTTCTTAGATCACTCTCTCCCTTTGATCCCATATGCTGAGGAATCCTGCGCTGGGCTGCAGTCCCTGAAAGCTGCAGTTGCAGCGGCTTCTGACACCCCAGCTATCCCCAAGACTTGAGCTTTGTTCTAGGCTCATTCCTCCTGGGCTCCACGATGCTGCTGATCCCTAGAACAGTCCTTCAGGCTGATGGTCAGCCTCTCTCCCCCTGGCAGTTCCCAGACTTCCCTTCCATTCCCACCTGCTGCTTGCCCCAGATTCTGCTAAAACTTAAGACCCTGTCCTGTAGTTTGGGCTCCTTTTCAGCCTGGGGGAGGTACCACCTGTAGAGATGGGCTTGTGGTGTCTTGTTCCCCCAGCTGGCCTTCGAGAGATGAGCTGGTTTCTGCCCTCAGGATGCTCCTGGATCAGAAGGCCAGCTGCTAAACCTTCATCCTCCCCAAGGTGTTTGGGATCCTGAGGAGGAGGCGAGCAGCCAGCCCAGGACGTTCAGAGCACTAAGTTTGGCCAAGAGGCGTGCCGCATTGGGTGGAGCAGCCTTGGGACCATTGCCCCTCCAGATCTGGGGTCCAGGCCTGCCTCCCAGAGGAGCTGGAGCTTCATTCTTTGCGGAAGGGCAGGAGTGGGCTGGAGGGGAGACTGAGGCAGGCTCATCCAGCGGAATGATGGCTGTCATAGCTTCCCCCCGACCCTCCTGTGAGGGGACATTTCACATTTCAGAAACGCTTCTGAACCGGGCTACCATTTGGACCCCGGCCCTACACGCTAGGGGAAGCCAGTACTGACCAGGGAAGGATGAGTAGAGGGGAGGAGACGGCCAAGGGGGTCAGAGAGGCGATTGGAGCTGAGAGCTGGAAGCTCCTTAAAGAGACTGCGCGGTCCCCGCCCCCCTTCCCGCCAGCCTCAATGAATTAGAGCTGTGTTTCCCAAACTTGCCTGAGCACCAGGAGCCTCTCAGGCCCTGGTCAGAGATCCAGGTTCCGGAGTACCTCCCCTCCAGAGTCTGATTCAGTAGGCCCGCGGGTGAAGCCGAGGAATCTGAAATTTTAACACGCTCTTCACGTGATTGTCGTGAACAAGCAAGTTTGGGAAATATTGAATTAAAGGAAACTGGGCCTGGCCGCGGTAGCGGCCTCCGCTAGGGGGCTTCGGCGGGAGCATTCCCGGGGGCGTCGCCTGCTTCCGCCGCCGTCTCCTTCAGTGAAAGTCCCTTTTGGGTCCAGCTGCCATAACCGCCGCGCTCGGTCCGGCCGGGCGGGGGACACGCCAGGTCTGCGTGGGCTCGGTGCCGCCACGCCCAGCGGCCGTCCGAGCCCTGCGAGCAGGGGGAGGAGCTGCAGCCAGTGGAGGCGGAGGAGGCTGGAGGAGGCGGAGACCGCCGAGAAGGCGGAGGAGGCGGAGAGGAAGGTGGAGGGGAAGGTGGAGGCGGCCGGGAAGGTGGACGCCACCGAGAAGGTGGAGACGGCGGAGACGGCGGAGACGGCGGGGCCGGTGGACGCCGCCGGGAAGGTGGAGACGGCAGAGGGTCCCGGCCGCCGGGCTGAGCTCAAGCTGGAGCCCGAACCCGAGCCGGTCGGGGAGGCGGAGCAGGAGCCGAAGGGGGAGCCGGAGCCGGAGCTGAAGGATGAGAACCCAGCGCCGAGCGGCGGTGGCGGCAGCGGCAGCGGCAGCGGCGACGGCGACGAGGTTCCTCCCCCCACCCTTCCCTCCGATCCGCCGCGTCCCCCCGACCCCTCTCCGCGTCGCAGCCGTGCCCC